TTATGAATAAAATTACTCTCCAAGGACTTGTGCTTATATCACTTGCATCACAAGACCACTCCTCGTTGCAGAGAAGCGTGGGAAGGTGACCTATTTGAGCAAAATGCCTGATGCCTCAGTAAAATCAGTAGTCTATTAACAAGAATGCTTACACTCCTGAATGTATGGGGAAACTTGGAATTATTGTCCAGGTGGCCATTTCTTTGATTATGTGAAGAGAATAACCAGGTGACACAGAACACCAGGTGCTCCCACTACTTGCTTGTAATTTATATCTTGTGCTTTTCTTTATTATCTAAATTTTCCACAGTAAGTACAAGTTGTAAATTAAAGTTTTTAAACAAATTTTTATTTATTTATTTTTAGAGAGGGGGAAGGAGGGAGAGAGAGAGGGAGAGAGACATCAATGTATGGTTGTCTCTCGAAAGCCCCACACCTGGCCTGCAACCCAGGCATGCGCCCCTACTGGGAATCAAACCAGTAACCCTTTGGTTCGCATGCCCATGTTCAATACATTGAGCCACACCAACCAGAGCTAAATTCAAGATTTTTTGATGGTTATAGAACTAGGCAGTCATCTTTATCATCTTTATTAATTTGTGGTAGTGTGTTGTTTTCTAGGAATTGTTTCATTTCTGTAATTGTTAAATTTATGTGTTAAAAGTGTTCTAATATTTCCTTATTATCTATTTAATAGCTGCAGTAACTGTAGAGACAACCCCTCTTTTATTTTTTACATTGGTCATTTGTGTTTTTTCTCATTTTATTCTTGTCAATGTTGCTAGAGTTTTGTAAATTTTTTTAAAGATTTTATTTATTTATTTTTTTAGGGCGGGAAGGGAGGGAGATAGAGGAGAGAGAGAGAGAGAGAGAGAGAGAGAGAGAGAGACATCAATGTGTGGTTGCTGGGGGTTATGGCCTGCAACCCAGGCATGTACCCTGGCTGGGAATCGAACCTGGGACACTTTGGTTCCCAGCCCGCGCTCAATCCACTAGCTACGCCAGCCAGGGAGTTTTGTAATTTTTTAAAAAATTATTTTTAGAAAAACTGTATTTTACTTCTATCAGCTTCCCCTTGTTTTCTTTTATGTTTTCATTAGTTTCTGTTTATTTTCATAATTTTCTTTTTATGCTTACTTTGGATACAATAATTTAGATTATTATTTTGGCAATTTTTCTCTTTCTAAGGGTTATTTGTATACAGGGTCTGGCAAAAGTAATGCCTGCTTGAGTATGGTTGGTAGGATAATAATATGGGTGTAATAATTTAGTTTTATTTTGAACATGTCACCTAAAATGTGATATGGTGTACACAAGTGTGATATTCTTACATTACAGGGTCGCATGCTTATGATTTGTAATAAAAGATTTTGTAACAAAAAAGAGGGCATAAAATACAGACCCTGTACTTTTCCAGTTTGCTGTGATATAATTGACATGTAATGTGAAAGTTTATGGTGTAAAATGTCTTCATTTTTATATTGAAATATATTGATTTTTATGTTGCAAAATGATTGCTAGCACCTCCATCCTGTCACATAATTACCATGTCTTTTTGTGGTGAAACCATTTAAGATCTACTCTCTTAGCTACTTTCAAGTATTTAATGTTAGCAATTTCCATTGCTTTAAACTTCACTTTATCTAATATTAATAAACTGCTCCTTCTTTCTTTTGATTCAGTTTGCATGATATATTCTGTGTATCCTTTCACTTTTATTCTACCTTCATTATTATATTTGAATTGTGTTTCTTATAAACCATTGGGTCAAACTACCAATACTTTTTTTGTCTTTTAATTTACTTTGCCAATATCTTCTTTTTATTCAGTATATTTGGACTACTTAATTTTCTCACAATTATTGATATGTTAGTGCTTAAGTCTGCCATTTAATTATTTATTTTATTTTTAATTATCTTTTTTCTATTTGTCTATTCTAGCCTTCCTGTGGAGTACTTGAACATGTTTTAAGATTTCCTCTTGATTTATTTGTAGTATTTTTGACTATGTCAATTTTATAACTTTCCTACAGGTCTGTCTTGATGTTACTATATGTATTCTGATGTTGCTTCATCTATTAGTATCAAAATTTAACACTTTGAGTGAACTATGAAACTTTACTTCCATTCAGGCCCCTTTATACTCCTTTATTTGAAACGTCATTGTCTTAGGAACATCACGATGTAACAAATGCTTTTCAGTTACCTTTATTTTCATGCTCTTTTCTATATTTAAATGTGCTATGCTCTTTACCTGGTGTGTTTTTGCCTTCTTTCATTGCTTAGGTAATCTTGGTCATTCTTCTTATTTAACTCAGATATTACCTCCTCAGTCAAACTTGTCCTGACCTGTTATTTCAATGAGAACCTATAATAGAGGAACTCAAACAGTTCTCCATTTTAGTGAATTTTATAGATGGACTTTTAACATCAGTAAAAGTAGTTATTTGGTTAATGACTGTCTTTTCTACTAGAATGGATTATAAATGGGACCAAATACCACATGTGCTTTTACTCATTGATGGATGCCTAGCACTCGGTACTTTGCATTACTCAACATTTATCCAGCAAGTAGTGATAGAATGAATGAATAAACCTTTCTCAACTATGGTTTCTTCATCTCAATTATTGATGCACAATTATTGTTTAATTTGTAGTAAGAACTACAGAAGATGATACCTGTGAAAATGCTCATGAAGACGGTAGAAATATGTAGAATCAACAGTGTATATCATAAGGAAATTATGCTCCGAATTTAAAGTTAAAAGCTCAATATTGTCCATTTTCAATGTGAGGAGACTGCAGGCTATTCAAGTGAAAATATCAGGGAGCTAGTTTGTATTGATAAATTGAAATGTCTCAAAAAAATACACAGAGCTAGATTAAGGATTTTAGAAGAGGAATTGGTAGAATTGGCCTCTCCTATCACTATTATATGCATTTAGTCACATTGGCACAACATAAAGCATTTTCACAACTGTTTATGTATGCCTAATTATTTTGATAAAATGTTTACTTTCACTTTTTAATTATTTTTCCATTTCACCCTCAGTTTTTATTCATTGCTGGCCAATTATGCTTGCTCTGCACTACTTAGGATATTAGAAAATTTGGAAAGAACCTCAAAATACACATCAGCTCAGGCTTTATTCTTTGTTTTGCACTGGTAATTTGAGACATTAGAGTAAATTTTTAATATTTTAAATTTCTAAATTAGTAAATCAAGCATAATTGTCTGAAATTAACTTAAAAATTCATAACACAATCTCAGAATCTTTAAATAATTTAGATCATATTATTCTATCTCTTTTTATCAAATTACTTTGACTTACATTAAGATTTAATCACAAAAGTTTACTGTAGAAAAATAAAATGGCACAGAGGCAGCATTATTGGGGAACATGAGAAAAAAACAGTTTCTTACACAAAATTACTGTTAGCCCTTTGGTATATATCCTTCTATCTTTGACAATAAGTTTTATGAGTACCCACTATTTGCCAAAACAATGTTTCAGAGAATGAAGATACACAAGGAAAAAAAAATAGATAGAATGTCCTGCCCTCACTTGGCTAATATTCAAGTGTCAGAAAATAGAAAATCAATATGTGTCGTAATACATGATTATTGGAGCCATGAAGATAATCAAATAGGATACAGAAATTGAGGCAGATTTTGGGTTGTGTAGTCATTTAGCTAAAGCTCTCAGGGAAAGCCTCTTTGATGAAGAGATATTTGAGGATTTCTGAAATAAAGAAGATATAACTTGGGGAAAAACATTCCAGGCAAAGTGACCAATTAATAAAATTCCTCTCGCACTTAACTTCTATACCATTTCAACTGCACATTAATTGCTCCAAAGAATGAGATATCCTGTGGTGTATTTCAGATTACAATCTTTCTCTTGGCCAATCATGAAAAGGCCAATTCATATTTAAGTAACTGATTGTTTTCATAGTAAAATTATGAGGATGAAATAATTTTTAACTAATGTTCAATATATCTTGTGTTTCATTGTCATTTATTTAATCAAAGACTATTTCTTTTTTCTCTATGGTAAGCATTGTATTAACTATTGTAGAGTCAGAAATAAAACAAAAAGCTTGCCCTGGAAAAACTCTCCATTCAAAGAAACAGATACTTGCACAAATAAATATAATAAAATCTAAAAGATACTCTAATACAATTTGCATAGAACAGGTGATCAACTCTACTCAGGTGGCAGCATCAGGACAAAGAATAGAATTTTAAAAGACAAATTAAAAGGAGTGACATCAGAGGAATGGCGTAGGAGAGGGCGCCTTGATCTCTTGTGTTGAAATTACAACAATTTGAACAGCTGTAATTCAACAAAGGATTCCCTGCTTAAGGTACAAACATGTCTGAGAGACCTGTCTGTGCATTGCAACTTCTGAAGAGGTTGGTCAGTTGTAGACAGCCGCAGAGATATGAAGAGGCAAGAGCTGAGATAGTGCAGGGGATGCGGCCCCGAGCTCACTGTGAGGCTGGCTCAGCCCAGAGAGGAGAGAAATGAGGTTGCCACTGCCACTCCTTCCAGCAGGGAGAGGCAGACAGGTACAGTGAGCATCCTTATCCAGTTTTTCCTCCCCGTTGTCAGTTGTAAAGGACTCATCCTAAGCCCACCACCCCCTTGTGCTTGCTTCCCCATCCCGAAGCAGGAAAGACGGCCTTCAGTGAAATGCTCATGAGAACTGGCCTCTCTCCTCCCACTCAGGCATCCCCCAACCTGGCCCCACCCCCGTGCCTCCCTCTACCCCCTCCACACACCCTCATGTGGCAGGTGTGCAACCCCCACACCTCCCCATCCCCCAACCTGGCCCCGCCCCCTGCCTCCCCACGCCCTCCACACACCCTCATGTGGCAGGTGTTCACCGTGTGCCCACAAAGATGGGGAAACCACGCCTCCCAGAAAGCAGTCAAAAGACCACTGCTTCAACAGCCAGGTGTTTTATTAAGGTGGTGGTTTACTGTTTACTTCTCACTCACATGGCGTACTTCTTGGTCCAAGCCCGAGCTATAGCATTATAGGTGTCCCTGTCCTTTAAGTACATTCTTGCAATGGATGGATCTAAGGGATCGTCGGGATTGGGGTCACATAACATGGAGCTGATGGACAACAACAATTCAGATACCGTAAGGGCAGGTGACCACTGGGACTTGAGAATATCTAGACATATATTACCTCTTTTGTCGATATTGGGGTGGTATACCTGAGTGATGAAGTAAATATATGGAGGTTGAAAGGGGTACTCGTGTGAGAAGTGTATGTTTAGGGAGAAGACGCCTCCCTCATAGGGGCTGTTGTCAGGGCCCACAACGACCCCCCTCCATGTGAACATGTCATCGTCCATCGGTGCTGCGGAGCACATGGGAGGGGGGTCCTTAGTGATGTCCATCAGTTCCTTCTGCAGGCGCTTCAGAGCCGTGGACACGTCCACTGGAACAGGTGGTGTCTGGGCATCCTGATAGGGACAAGGGGGAAGCACGGGTGGGGCGGGGAGGGACCATGGGTTAGGGTGGGCGTGGCTTACGGGGGCCGGGGTTAGAGGGGCAGCCACCCCCCAGGTCGGTGGGTGGGTAAGAAGGCTGGAGCCGGGCTGTGGGGTGTGAGGGGCTGTCGGGGGACGGGGCCGGTGGGGAGGAGGGGGAAGGAAGGCAGAGTTGGGGACTCGGCTGGACCTGAGGGGCTCCTGCTCACCTGTGTTCTGCTGGTCCCTGGCTCCTCCATCTCTTCTTCCTCCACCGCTGGGTCTGCCGCTCAGACCCTGAGCCCCTAAGGCTGCGCTGCCCATAGACACTGCCGCCCTGTGGCAGGAGCAACTGCTCCTGCCAGGCCGCCTGCCTGTGCCCTCGGCCCTGCCTTGTGCACTGGGTTCCTGGAAACAGGAGGGGATCCCCTCTGTGATGTCACAAGGGCCAGCTGATGCTGTCAGCAAGTCGATGGGGGCGGGGCCAGGAGAGAGAGGGAGAGGCAGACAGGTAAAGTGAGCATCCCAGTGGGTGTGGTCAGCATGCTCCACAATTGAACAGAGGGACCTGCGGGGAGACAAAGCTCAGGTATGCAGCCACGCCGTCTGACTGCCGCAGTCACCAGGCAGAAAAACACAGCCACTGCGAAGCCTGGCCTCCTCTCCAAATCCTCCCAATGTCACAGTGGGCCCCAGAAGAAGCTGTAACACTGTGTGTCGAGTTGCAGAGCACACTGTCTGCAAGCACAAGGACTGAAAACACAGAAACATTTTCTCCTAAATGACAGGTGTGCTCTGTGGCTCACCCCAGCGGTGGGTGGAGATAGACAGTGGAAGACACTAAGGTCTGCCAGTCTCCATGGCTGGGAGAACAAAGCCATAAGTTACCAGCCAGCCTCTCCCAGCTCACCCCACACCCACCCATTGCAGAGCACTGCTCGCAGCATATAGCTACAGGTAACAGTGCTGGCATTTCAAGGACGTGGACTCCAACTGCCCACCGCATTCCCCTGGGGCTGAGCACCCTGAGATGCAGGCAACCTGATCACAGAGGAGATGCCCACCTTCCCAGGGAACAAACAGCTTCTTCCATGTCCCTGAAGAGATCTGAAAGGACAGAGCTGAGCAGAAAAAGCTAAAAAGCCTGTGCTTTAGTGACCCCTGCTGAAAAACAACGGAAACACACCCTCACTGGTGTAGCTCGGGTGGTTGGGTGGCATCCCACAAAGTGAAAAGTTGCAGGTTTGATTCCTGAGCAGGGCCGATGTTCCTCCCTTACATCGACGTTTCTCTCCTACTCTTTCTCCCTCCTTACCCCTCTCTTTAAAAATAAATAAAATCTTTTTAAAAATAAAAAAAAAGACTTCTTGTTAATCTGGTAGAGAAAGGCCATTCATATATAGATGCCTACAAAGAGAAAGAATCCATCAAATACCATAACTAACCAGAGTAATAATGTAGCCCAGAAAGAAAATTTTTAAATCTTCAGAAGATAAACTTAAAAACATGAAATATGCAATTTAAATGACAGGGAATTCAAGATTACAGTTCTGAGAAAGCCCAATGAGATACAATACAGATAGGCAGTTTAATAAGCTAACAAATAAAATTAATACACAAAATGAATACTTTACCAAAGAAACTGAAACTTTTAAAAAGAACCAAATAGAAATTCTGGAGATAAATAATAACAAAAGACATCAAGAATGAACTAGCTAGTCTAAGAAATACAGCTGATCACATTGGGAAAGAATTAGTGAAATTGAAGATAGAAATCTAGAAATGGCATAGATGGAAAAACAGAATTAGAGTAACAAAAGTGAAAGAGCTCTATAAGAACTATCTGACTCCATCAGATAGAGCAATATAGGAATAATAGGAGTACCGGAAGAGGAAGAGATGGAGACAAGAACTGAGAGCCTATTCAAACAAATAGTTGATGAAAACTTCCCAGACATATGGAAAGAGCTAGCTAGATTCCATCCTGGAATCCAAAAAGCAAACAAGACACCTAATTATCTCAATACCAAAAGGCCTTCTCCAAGGCACATAGTACTAAAACTTCCAAAAATTCTTGACAACGAGAATTCTCAAGAGAGCAAGGGAAAAGAAGACAGTAACCTACAAGGAAACTTCTATTAGATTATCATCAGATTTCTCAGAGGCCCTACGAAGTAGAAAAAAATATGTCAAATAGGCAAAGTACTAAAAGACAGAAATGACCAGTAAAGAATAATGCAGCAAAGTTGTCCTTTAGATATGAAGGAGGAATAAAAACTTTCAGAAGGTGGGGGGATTTCATAGCACCAGAAGACCTCCATTGCAAGAAGTAGGAGGTTATTCTACTTGAAATAAAGAACAAAGGGTCACAAAACTACAAGTAAGATTACCAACAACTCTTATTCCTAATAGGGTACTATACACTTAAATATCACATACAGGTTAAATGAGGTAAAAACATTAAAAAAGAGAGAGGAGGAAGACAATAACTATTGCAATTCAGAAGTGAACACAGTATAAATAGGGATAATTTGGGACAAAAAACTTAAAAAGGGCAGGAGTAAAAGGCTGAATTTGCAAAGGGAGATGGAGATCAGATACACTCAGGAGAAAAAGAAATACCATATGTATGAAAGTTATTTTTACATTAACCTAGTAGCAACCACACACACAAAAACCCCAAACTAAGACACATAACTTTAAAAGAAAAAAGAGAAAACAGAAGAAAAAATTACATAACACCAGCAAATTAAAACATCAGACAGAAGCACAAAGGATGAAAAACAATTGAGCCCTGGCTGGTGTGGCTCAGTGGATTGAGCACTAGCCTGCAAACCTTAAGGGTCCCCAGTTCGATTCCCAGTCAGGGCACATGCCTGGGTTGTGGGTCAGGTCCCCAGCAGGGGGCATGAGAGAGGCAACCACACACTGATGTTTCTCTCCCTCTCTTTTTTGCTCCCTTCTCCTCTCTCTAAAAATAAATAAGTAAAATATTTTTTTAAAATGGAGTGATACAGCTATGAGAAAACAAAAGATAATGGAGATCTTACAGGAGATTGTCATATATGTCAATTACCCCAAATGTAAGTAGAATAAGCTCACCAATGAAAAGTCATAGAGTAACAGATTGGATCAAACAAACAAAACCCAACCATATGCTGTTTCATGAAATACCTCTGAGCTGCCAAGAGAAATACAGACTCAAGGCGAAAGGGTGGAAAATGATTCTCCAAGCAAATGGCATCCACAGAAATGTAGGTGTAACAAAATAAATTTCAAGATAAAAAGGTAACAAGAGACAAAGATAGACATTTAATGATGATTAAGGGGGCACTAGATCAAGAAGACATAACACTTCTCAGTATATATGTACCCAATTAGGGAGTACCCAAATATATAAACCAACTAACAGAATGAAAGGGAGAAACAGACAAAAACATAATTACATCAGGCAACCTAAATATCCCATGGACAGTTCAGCTGTGGGGGATGCTGTCAAAGACACTCATTTCTCTCTTGCAACATCAGAGTATTAAGTTGGGAGCTCAATGAGTAGGGAAAGGTAACAGATTAGGAAAGCACCATACAAGATACCCAGCGGAGGGAAGGATGCACCATTAAAGAGACAAGGTTCTGGCTGACTACATTCGGGACTCTGTCAGGAAGCCTGCCCATGGACCATGGGATAAACTTCACATGCAGATTCCTACCACTGTGTGCCATGTACCAAACCTACGCCTTTTCTTATTCTGCAGCTGGTTTCCTGGACAGAATTGAACTTCCAGAAATAAACTCTAGTATATACAGTCAATTAATATCTGACAAGGTCACCAAGAATACTCGATGAGAAAAAAAATTAGTCTCTTCAATAAACAGTGCTTGAAACACTGTATAACCACAGGCAGAAAAATGAAATTGGACCCCTGGATTATAGCATTCACAAACATTTACTGAAAATGGAATAATAACTTCAATGTTAGCCCTGAAACCATGAAACTCCAAGTGAAAAACAAGGAAAATTGTCCTTGTCAGTGGTCTTCATAAAGATTTTTGTAAAAAAGGTGAGACCTAGAACACAAACAAGAAAAGCAAAAATAAATGAGACTATCAAACTAAAAGATTCAGCAAGGTCTAAGAAACAATAAGCACAATTCAAAGACAATCTACAAAATTGGAGAAATATATATATATACAAATCAACAACAACACTAAGAACAACAAAAACCAAGCACAATAAAACACACAAAAATGGAATATATATTTTTCCAAAGAATACATACAAATGGCCATGAACATGAAAAGTTGCTGGTCATCACTAATCATCAGAGCAAGACAAATCAAAACCACAATGAGACACCACCTTACGCCTGTCAGAATGGCCACCACCAAAGAGAAAAGAGATAACACATATTAGCAAGGATATGGAGAAAAAAAGGAATGCTTGTGCACTGTTAGTGAGAATATAAATTGGTAGCCACTATGTAAAACATTAGGGAGGTTCCTCAAAAAATTAAAACCAGAACTACCATATGATCCAGCAATTACACTTTTGGGTGCATATCCAAAGGAAATGAAAAGGGATATCATGGAGACATCTGTACTTCCATGTTTATGTGGCACTATTCACCTTAGCCAAGATACAGAGACAATCTAAGTGTCCATAAAAAAATGGATGGAAAAAAAAGACGTGAATAATGGAATATTTTTCAGCCATGACAAAGAATTAAATCCTGCCGTCTATACACCATAAACAGACCTTAAGGGCATTATGGTAAGTGAAATAAGTCAGACAGAGAAAGACAAATATTGTATAATCTCACGTATACGTGGAGTATAAAAAACAACAGGCTCGCCCTGGCTGGTGTAGCTCAGTAGATTGAGCCCCGGCCTGCAAACCAAAGGGTCGCCCATTTGATTCCCAGTCAGGGCACAGGCCTGGGTTGTGGGCCAGG